CTCCCCTTCCGTTCCTCCCAACGTCTTAAATCACCCTCCCATACGCCTTCTGTTTCACCCCACACCCCCTCCATTCCTTCTTACCCCCACCCCTTCACTACCCATTCACCCAACCCCGTCTCTCTACTCCCCCCCCCCCCTCCCCAACTCCTCTATTCTACCTCCCTCCCCCCTCTCTTTCATCTTCCACCTTTCTGTTCCCTCCCTCCCACCTCTCCCTTCCTCCCCCTCCTCTTCTATCCCCCTATCCCCCTTCACAACTGCGGTTTATTTCCCCCTCCTTTATTCTCGAGTATTTATCCCGTCCCTTATTCCGCACCTTTTATCCTCTCTTACACTCCGCCTCCCTCTACCCCACTTGCCTACTGGTTCTAACCCCTCCCCCTCCCTCCCTCCCTCCCTCCCTCCCTGACACCTTTTTCTTCCCTCCCTCCCTCCCTCCCTCCCTCCGCCATACCTCCTTTTTCTTCCCTTCCTTCCCCCACGCAACTTCGTCTTCCCCCCCACCCTATCCCCTACCTCGCCTCTCCTCCCATCCCAACCCCTTATTTCATCCCTCTCCCTCCTCCCCTACTCCCCCCGTCCTCCTCCTCCTACACCTTTTCCTCCTACTACCCCCCTCGCCTCCTCCTCCTCCTCCTCCTCTTCCCCTTCCTCCTCCTCCCTTCCCCCTCCTCCTCCTCCCCCCCCCCTCGTCTCCTCCGTCTCGTAGGCCTATCGAAATTCCTGCTCGGCTGTCACCGGAGGCCTACGTGGTTTTTCGCCAACACACAAACCGGTCTCTGTACGGCTTCCCCTTTCTACCTTTAAATTTTGCGTCATCACTATTTGCTTTTTTTTTATTTTTTATTTTATTTTCGTTCTTCCTCTTCGGTGAATTTGTGTGTGTGTATGTGTGTGTGTGTGTGTGTGTGTGTGTGTGTGTTTGTTTGTTCGTTATTTTCATTCTTCTTTTTTTTCGGTAGATTTTGTTTTTCTTCCTCTTTGTGGGTATTTATTCCTAGTTTTCCTTCTTTCTTTCTTTCCTTGGGTTGATTATTCTTTATTTTCCTTCTTCATTTATTTGTGTATTTATTCCTTATTTTCCCTCTTTATTTCTTTGTGTATTCTTTATTTTTCTTCTCTTTCTTTCTGAGTTTCATTTCCTTCCTCACTTCTTTTTTTTTTATCAGTGAGTGTTAAGGCTTTTTACTCTTGTTATGTTTCATTTAATTTTCTATGTGTTTTTCGTCGTCGTTCTTTCCTCTTTTCTCTTTTTCTTTTCTCTTTTCTTTTCCTTCCTTCATCATTGTTCTCTCTATTTGTCTCCTCCCTTCTCTGTTTTTCTCACTCTTGTGTTTCCTCTGCTTTTCCCTCCTTCCCTTTCTTCTCTCCTATCTCATCTCCTCTCGTCTCTCTCCCTCCTCTATTCTCTCTCCTCTTCTCTCTTTTCTCTCCTTTCGTCTCTCTTCTCTCCTCCTTTGCTCTCCTCTCCCTTTCTCACCTATCCTCCTCTGCTCTCTCATCTGCTCACCATTCCTCACCTCTCCCTCCTCTCCTCTTCTCTCCTCTTCTCTTCTCTCCTCTTCTCTTCTCTTTTCCTCAATCATCTCTTCTCCTCCCCTTCTCTCCCCTTCCCTTCCCTCCCCTTCCCTCCCCCTCCCTACCCTTCCCTCCCCTTCCCTTCCCTTCCCTCCCCTTCCCTCCCCTTCCCTCTCTTCCCCTCTTCCCCCGTCTCGTCCATATACAATAAAGAATAATTGATAAATAGATACAAAAAAGAATAATTGATAAATAAATACAAATAAATAGACGAATAAAAGTTGTTACCGATCAAATTGGTCCGAACTTGCGAGCGAGTTTTCGAAAAGTTTCGTTTTAAAATGAACGGGCAATTTAGCTCAGTGTTTGCGCGCGTTTGCAAACTTCGTAATAAAAGGATAGGTGCGGGATGGGAGAAAGGGGGGGGGGGTTGAGAGGGCAGGTGATTTTTTTGTCGTTTGCGTGTTTGCTTATGGCTTTGTTTGTTTGCGTGTTTTCTTATGGTTTTGTTTGTTTGCGTATGGCTTTGTTTGTTTGCGTGTTTTCTTATGGTTTTGTTTGTTTGCGTATGGCTTTTTGTTTGCGTGTTTTCTTACGGTTTTGTTTGTTTGCATGTTTTATGGTTTTGTGTGTGTGTGTGTGTGTGTGTGTGTGTGTGTGTGTGTGTGTGTGTGTGTGTGTGTGTGTGTGTGTGTGTTTCTGTGACTGTTTTCTGTTGCTCTATTTGGCTTCTGTTGAAAGTTTGAAGACCGAACGAAGATTACATTTTTCGTTGATTAGAGCGGGAGTGAGAGGTTTTATCTAATGTTTGTTTATTTATTTATTTTTATTGAAGTGCACTGAGCTGCGGATGAGCTTTTAGGTTAATGGAGATTTGGTATGCACACATAGATATATATTCACTCTCACTCACTCACTGGTACTTACGCTCACTCTCGTTCACTCACACTCACTCTCACTCACTCTCTCTCTCACTCACTCACTCGCTCACTCGCTCACTCTCATTCACTCACACTCACTCTCTAACTCACTCTCTCACTCACTCACTCACTCACTCACTCACTCACTCACTCACTCACCCACTCACTCACTCACCCATTCATTTACTCATTTTACTCACTCATTCAATCACTCATTTACTAACTCACTCACCTATTCACTTATTCACTCACTCACTCACTTACTAACTCATACTGTCACTCATACACTCACACCCACGTACTTATACTCACTCACTCACACTCACTAACTCACACATTCACGTCTGGGTGCCTGCATTCACGCTTATATATACATACACATTGAGAGCAAATGTTGACCTTCCCCCTTTCTCGTCTTCCCTCCCCCTCCCCGTCTTCCTCTTCCTCCCTTCCCCCTTTCTCGTCTTCCCTCCCCCTCCCCGTCTTCCTCTTCCTCCCTTCCCCCTTTCTCGTCTTCCCTCCCCCTCCCCGTCTTCCTCTTCCTCCCTTCCCCCTTTCTCGTCTTCCCTCCCCCTCCCCGTCTTCCTCTTCCTCCCTTCCCCCTTTCTCGTCTTCCCTCCCCCTCCCCGTCTTCCTCTTCCTCCCTTCCCCCTTTCTCGTCTTCCCTCCCCCTCCCCGTCTTCCTCTTCCTCCCTTCCCCCTTTCTCGTCTTCCCTCCCCCTCCCCGTCTTCCTCTTCCTCCCTTCCCCCTTTCTCGTCTTCCCTCCCCCTCCCCGTCTTCCTCTTCCTCCCTTCCCCCTTTCTCGTCTTCCCTCCCCCTCCCCGTCTTCCTCTTCCTCCCTTCCCCCTTTCTCGTCTTCCCTCCCCCTCCCCGTCTTCCTCTTCCTCCCTTCCCCCTTTCTCGTCTTCCCTCCCCCTCCCCGTCTTCCTCTTCCTCCCTTCCCCCTTTCTCGTCTTCCCTCCCCCTCCCCGTCTTCCTCTTCCTCCCTTCCCCCTTTCTCGTCTTCCCTCCCCCTCCCCGTCTTCCTCTTCCTCCCTTCCCCCTTTCTCGTCTTCCCTCCCCCTCCCCGTCTTCCTCTTCCTCCCTTCCCCCTTTCTCGTCTTCCCTCCCCTCTCCCCCTCTTCCTCTTCCTCCCTTCCCCCTTTCTCGTCTTCCCTCCCCCTCCCCGTCTTCCTCTTCCTCCCTTCCCCCTTTCTCGTCTTCCCTCCCCCTCCCCGTCTTCCTCTTCCTCCCTTCCCCCTTTCTCGTCTTCCCTCCCCCTCCCCGTCTTCCTCTTCCTCCCTTCCCCCTTTCTCGTCTTCCCTCCCCCTCCCCGTCTTCCTCTTCCTCCCTTCCCCCTTTCTCGTCTTCCCTCCCCCTCCCCGTCTTCCTCTTCCTCCCTTCCCCCTTTCTCGTCTTCCCTCCCCCTCCCCGTCTTCCTCTTCCTCCCTTCCCCCTTTCTCGTCTTCCCTCCCCCTCCCCGTCTTCCTCTTCCTCCCTTCCCCCTTTCTCGTCTTCCCTCCCCCTCCCCGTCTTCCTCTTCCTCCCTTCCCCCTTTCTCGTCTTCCCTCCCCCTCCCCGTCTTCCTCTTCCTCCCTTCCCCCTTTCTCGTCTTCCCTCCCCCTCCCCGTCTTCCTCTTCCTCCCTTCCCCCTTTCTCGTCTTCCCTCCCCTCTCCCCCTCTTCCTCTTCCTCCCTTCCCCCTTTCTCGTCTTCCCTCCCCCTCCCCGTCTTCCTCTTCCTCCCTTCCCCCTTTCTCGTCTTCCCTCCCCCTCCCCGTCTTCCTCTTCCTCCCTTCCCCCTTTCTCCCTTCTTCTCCTTCCTCCCATCCCCCTCCTCTTCCCTCTCTCTTGTTCCCTCCCTTCTTCCCCTCCTTCCCTCTTTCTCGTCTTCCCTCCCCCTCCCCGTCTTCCTCTTCCTCCCTTCCCCCTTTCTCTTCTTCCCTCTCCTTCCTCCCTCCCTCACTTCCCTCCAATACCACCCTCCCTTTCCTCCTCTCCCCCCCCCTTCTCCTCTCTTCTCTTCTCCTCACCCTCCCTCTCTTTCCCCATTTTCCACCTCCCTCCCAATCCTCCTCCCCCTCCCCCCTCCCCCCTCATTTCTCTCCACCTGACCTTCTTCTCCCCCCTCCCCCTTCCCCCCCTCCCCCTTCCCCGTGACATTCCGCCTGACGCACGAGATCGACGCCCTTTAGTGTGTCTGTCTGTTTGTTTATATGATTCGTTGTTCGTTGTTTCTATTATTGTTTTCTCTTTTTTTCTCTGATTTTCTTTTTTTCTTTCTTTCTTATTCTTTCTCTTTCATTTTTTCCTCTTTGGTTTGTATATGTCATCATAATCGTTGTTGTTAATTGTTGTTGTTATTGTTATTGTTTTTCGTATTATCGTCATGCATACCATGTTATTGTTACTAATGTTACGAATCACTGCTGTTAACGGAGTTATTAGTATTATCATGACCATTGATAATGATAACTTTAGTGTCATTATCGTTATCATAAATTGATGTTTGTTTGCAGACCTGGAGGTAGTTTGACAATTTACCCTTTTTTTCTTTTTTTTTTTACCCATTATTTCAAACACTCGTTTTGAACGGATTCTCAGCTGTGGTAGTGGTGACGTCACTGTGGCTCTCAGCTGTGGTGGTGGTGACGTCACTGTGGCTCTCAGCTGTGGCGGTGGCGGTGGTGACGTCACTGTGGCTCTTAGCTGTGGAGGTGGTGGTGTTGACGTCACTGTGGCTCTCAGCTGTGGTGGTCGTGACGTCACTGTGGCTCTCAGCTGTGGTGGTGGTGACGTCACTGTGGCTCTCAGCTGTGGTGGACGTGGTGGTGACGTCACTGTGGCTCTCAGCTGTGGTGGTGGTGACGTCACTGTGGCTCTCAGCTGTGGTGGTCGTGACGTCACTGTGGCTCTCAGCTGTGGCGGTGGCGGTGGTGACGTCACTGTGGCTCTTAGTTGTGGTGGTGGTGGTGACGTCACCGTGGCTCTTCGCTGTTCTGTTGTCACGCCTCCATTACTATTGTCTGTGTTGGTGGTAACATCACGTTATCTCTGTCAGCTGTTCTGGTGATGACGTCACGGGAAGCGTGGCACTTGCTCTCCCTCATTGTTAGGGACACTTGTGTCAAAGGGGAGTCATGTCAGGGGATATATTGTAATGGTGTGAGGTTTTAATTTTTTTTGGAGTATTTTGATTATACTAAAAGTAAGTTTTGTATTTCAGGTGGGATTTACTGGGTGAACATTCTAAAGTTTTGGTATTATTGTTGTTGTTATTACTATTATTATTATCATTATTATTAGTAGTAGTATCATCAGTATGACCCTTATTATTATTGTCATGTTATTATTATTATTATCATCATTATTATCATCATCATCATCATTATTATTATTATTATTATTATTATGATTATTATGATTATTATTATTATGATGATGATTATTATTATTAGTATTAGTATCACTCATTATTGTTGTTGTTATTATTATTATTATTATTATTATTATTATTATCATCATTATTATAATTATCATTATCGTTGTGGAGTAGCTTCGCCTAGCCGCACCTGGCGTGAGTGACCTATCGAACGCCGTGTGGAATTTGGAGAGAAGTGAAGCGAGACAAGGTAGTTAGGTCATGTCCCCTTTTCCCTTTTCGCTTCACACTAATTCTTGTTTCTTTTCGCTTTTTTTGCTTCCTCCCTTCTTCTTTCTTCTCTTTCCCTTTTCCCCTACCCCACCTCTTCTGTTCTATGTCTTTCTAATTGTTTTCTTTCTTTGCTTCATTTTTTTTTTTTTCATCTCCGTCACTTCTTACTCCTCCTCCTCCTCTTCATTTTCTCCCTCCCCCTCTCCCTCCAACTCCTTTTCTTACCTCGCTCCGCCCCTTCTCTCCTCCTCCCTCTTCCTTTCTCCCTTTTTCTTCCTCTCCTTCTCCCTCTTCCTCCCCTTCTTCTTCCTCCTCCTCCTTCTCAAACTTCCCTCCCTTCATCTCTCCTCCTCTTCCTCCTCTTCCTCCTTCTCCTCATTTTCCTCCTTTTTTCTTCCTCTCTCTCGTTCAACACCCCCCCCCTCTTATCTCTCTCTCCTCCTTTCCCTATCCATTTTCCCTTCATCTTCTCCCTCCTCTCCTCTTTTCCTCCCTCTTCCCCCCTCTCCCTCTCCTTCTTACCTCTCCCTCCTCTTCTCCCTCTCCTTGTCCCGTCTCCTTCTCCCCTTTATCTCCTTCCTCTTCTCCCTAACCCTCATCATCTCCTTCCTCTTCTCTTCTCCCTTTCCTCCTCTCCTCTCCCCTCCTCTCCCCTTCCGTCGGTTTAGCATGGCGACGAAATCGATCTGTCCTTTATTGGCGATCTCTCTCTCTCTCTCTCTCTCTCTCTCTCTCTCTCTCTCTCTCTCTCTCTCTCTCTCTCTCTCTCTCTCTCTCTCTCTCTCTCTCTCTTTCTCTCTCTCTCTCTCTCTCTCTCTCTCTCTCTCTCTCTCTCTCTCTCTCTCTCTCTCTTTCTCTCTCTCTCTCTGTCTCTCTCTATCTCTCTCTCTCTCTCTCTCTCTCTCTCTCTCTCTCTCTCTCTCTCTCTCTGTCTCTCTCTCTCTCTCTCTCTCCTTCTCTCTCTCTCTCTCCTTCTCTCTCTCTCTCTCCTTCTCTCTCTCTCTCTCTCTCTCTCCTTCTCTCTCTCTCTCTCTCTCTCTCTCTCTCTCTCTCTCTCTCTCTCTCTCTCTCTCTCTCTCTCTCTCTCTCTCTCTCTCGCTTTCTCTTTCCCATCTTACTCGCTCATATTCAGTAAAGCGCAGCATCCGCATTACCATTACCGTTAACATTACGATTAGCATTAGTGTTAAAGAGAACAGAAAAAAAATAACTCGCGAATTAAGTCGTAGACATAAATATTTACTAATTCCATTTACACCCAAAGAGACGCTATGTACCCAGCGCGGCATATTTTCCTCCCCTCCCCCCCTCCCCCCCTCTCCCCCACGCTAGAGGAATTTTAATTTGCCGTATTTATTAAATATCTCCTAACAGATTAATATGCTGAGCCTCGAGCCTGACCTTTTAAACGCAACGCATTAAAACATCTGGCAACTTTCACTGGCGGTGTTGTCGACTTGGGGTGTTTCTGATTATACCTCTTATTCGTCGTGTTCTAGGAGGTGGATTTGCTATATTATTTTTTTTTCTTTTCTTTTCTTTTTCTTGGTGTGATTTTTTTTCTTTGGTATGGAAAGGGTGTTTTGTTAGATGTGGGTTTGTTTTCCATGTTTGGTTGTTAGTTTCTATTAGTTGCGTAAGAGTGAATGTTCAGTTTAGTTTAAATGCGCGAGGTGTGATGCTAGTGTAAGGATTTTTATATTTATTTTTTATTTGTTTTACACGTTTCGTCGCAAGTAATTGAAGCTCTGTTACCCGCAAAAAATGGAAAAATATATGTTTATATAAAAAAAAATATATATATATATAAATAAGACTGTTCATTCCCAGTGTTCTTTTTTCGCCTTCGTTGATACAGCGAAGAAATTCTCACATTTACCGTCACTTTTATTGATGTCATCACACGTCACTCGGCCGTGTCTGACATCGCGCTCATCATCCTTACTCTATTGCATTATGTCACCTCTTGCGGGTTTATTATCGTCTTTGTTGCTTCCTCTTCATTCCCTTCTTCGTTTCTGGTTATTCCATAATGTTCTTTTTTTAGTGTTCTTTTGGATCCCTAGATTTTTAGATTTCACAATTTTTTTTGTTTTGTTTTTTGTCTTGCTTTGTTTACTGTTTTGTTTTCTGATGTTTTTTTGTTTTGTTTTCTGTTTTGTCTTCCAATTCTCTTTATAGAATTTTCCGCAGTTGGTCTCTACTTGTTCTCTAGTTCTCTCTTAATTCTCTCTAGTTGCTTCTTCGTCGTTCTCTGATTCTCTCTATTGCTGGCTAGGTTTCTTTCTCTTCTCTTTAATTCTTTCTAATTCTCTCCAATCCTCTCTCTTCTCTATTCGCTCTCTAATTGCTCTTTAATTACTGCTAAATTGCTCTCTAATTCTTTCTAATTTTCTCTCGTTGCTCGTGTTCTGTTTCGGCGGCTCGCTCGGCATATCGGATATATATGTTTTACAATGGACGATTTTTTTTCAAGTGTAAAATATTGCTGTCAAACACGTTTTATGAAGTGCGTGTCCGAGATGCGTTCGGGTGAGCGTTCGTAAGGCGTGGGGGGGAAAGAGGGGGTTGGAGGAGGGGAGATAGGGTGGGAAGGAGGGATGGAAGGAGAGGGTGTGGAGGGAAAAGGAGGAGAGGTTGGGAGGGATGGTGGGAGGGAGGGAAGGAAGAGGGAGAGGGTGGGAGGGAGGGAGGGAAGGATGGTGGGAGAGTGGGAAGAGGTGGGAGGGAGGGAAGGAGGGAGAGAGGGAAGGAAGGTGGGTGAGTAGGAGGGTGGGAGAGAGGAAGGGAGGGGGACGTGGAGGGAAAGGGAGGGAAGGAGGGTGGATGGGAGAGTGGTACGGATGCGGGCATGAAGGGAAAAGGAGAGAGAGAGAGAGAGAGACAGAGACAGAGACAGAGACAGACAAAAAGAGAGAAGAAGCGAGACAGTGAAAAAAAAGAAATACAGAGTCGAAAGTAACTGAGCGTTTGTTAAGTTAACAAAAAAAAAGAGAGAAAAAAGCTGAATAACTTAATTAGCAACCTTTCAGACGGATGTTGAACTCAAAACCAGCGGCGGGACTTTAGCTGTTTCATGCAACTGCACGACGAGTTACTTGTGCCGGGTGTTTGTTTGTATGATTGTGTGTTTGTTTGTGTATGTGTGTTTGTTTGATTGTGTGCGTACGTGTATGTGTTTGTTTGTATTTTTGTTTGTGTGTGTATGTATGTATGTTTCTGTATGTATTTATGCGTTCATGTGCGTGTGGCGTGTCGGTTTTGTAGCGAATTTGCTCATTTTATTTGTTTGGTAATACATTTTCGTTATTAATTTAATTTTGATAGTAAGTTGGGATAATTTTGTTTATGTCACTAGTTCGTCGATAGATTTTTATGATCTATTCTGTTTTTCAGTGTCTCTTTTGGTTGATAAAAAGTTTGCTATTATCTTGTCTTTTGGATTAGATGAACATTTTTTAATACAATTGATTTATGAAATAATGATGATTTTTTATTGAGTTTATTTGGTTATTTATATGATAATAGGAAGGGGGTGCGAAGTGCTGGGAATTGGGAAGGAGTGTGTGTGGGAGAGAGGGAAGCGGGAAGGGAGAGGATAAAGGGAGGGGAGGATAAGGGGAGGGAGAAGGGAGGAGTGTGGGTTGGGGGAGGGGGAGGGGGTATGAGAAGAGGGGAGATGGAGAAGTATGAGGAAGGGAAGGAAGAGTGGATAAGGGAAAGGGGAAGGAAGAGGATAAGGGGAGGGGGGAGGGAGGAGTGTGAAGAGGGAGAGAGAGAGAGAGAGAGAGAGAGAGAGAAAGTAAGTCTATGACATAGGAGGAGTGAGAGGGAGAGGGGAAGGGAGGGAAGGGAAGTGAGGGGGAGGGGGGTCACTTCCGTATACAAGTGTTCTGCCGAGGGACAGGTGTCGCCGGGAGCATCAGCTGTTTTCTCGCTAAACAGCTGATCGGCGTGCGTTGATAGTGTACGTGGAAATTAAGGGGTGCGATAGTGCGTTTTTCCGTTCCAGGTGAGGGCGAATATCGTCCTTACGAACAACTGGAGGTTTATTGATGTTGTGTTACCATGGTTAGGGGGAAGTTATAATCGTATCTGTTCGTTTCTCTCTCTTTATCTGTGTCTTAGTCTACGTGTTTTACTTTCGTTTCTTTTTTAGTATTCTTTCTTTACTTCGGGCCTCTTTTTACTTCCCTCTCTCTAATGAATTTTTTTCATTTTCTCTTTCTCTTTCTTTCTCTTTTTCTTTCCTCCTTTCTCTTTCTGTTTTTCACTTTTTCTTTCCCTTTCCCTTTTTGACAAACTTCGGAAGAAGGAAATGTGTAGATGAAAGAGCAAGAGAAT